TGTTGATAAAAATATTGACTAACATTTATTTATCATATTTTCCCCAGTGATATGAATCATTCATGAATCGTCATGAATTATTATTATTATTATTATTATTATTATTATTATTATTATTATTATTATTATTATGATCATCATCGTCATCATCACCAGTAACATCATCATCATCATCGAATCAATATCCTACAGCACAACAAATATCTTGATAGCAACTATTCTTTTTTCTCAAAACAATAAAAACAACATTACAACAACAACAATAATACATACATACATACAAACATACATACATGCATACAAACATAAATACATACAGACATACTTTAATTAAGCAATTAAACTTGTATTGTTAACTTTGCTTCTTCAATAAATTAAGTGTAAATTAGTGATATCAATAATTTATCATTTTCCTCATCATCACCATCATTATCATCATCATCGTCGTCGTCGTCATCATAATAACGGGTATTATATAACAATCTATATTATGATCATAACCATTTCCACCATCATCATGATTATTATTATTGTTGTCGTTAGTCTCATCATCATCATCATCATCATCATCATTACCATCGTCAGCAACATCTTCATCGTCGTCATCATCATCATCATCGCCACCATCATCATCATCATCATTACCTTTATCCCACTTAAAACAACGATATGCAATTAACTTTCTTTCAATGATGATGATGACGATGATGATGATGACGATGGTGGTAATGATGACGATGATGATGGCGATTAACGTTCTCAAATCGGCTCTGGCAGCTGTAGTAGTAGTAGCAGCAGCAGCATTGTTATTATTAGTGGTAATATAAGTTTTAGTAGTAGTAGTAGTAGCAGTTGCAGTAATAGTTGTAGTAGTAGTAGTAGTTGTAGTAGTAGTAGTAGCAGTAGTAGCTGCAACAGTAATAGTAGTAGCGGTAGTGGTAGCAGTAGTAGCGGTAGTAGTTGTAGTAGCGGTTATTGCTCTTGTCTGTCTGTCCAACGCTTAAAATCATTTAAAACTCGCCAGCTCTAAAAACACAATCATTGATTTTCCCCTCTGTTTATTTGTATGTTTGTATGTATGTATGTTTGTATGTATGTATGTATGTATGTGTGTGTG